GAAAATCTAATATGAGGTCCATTATTCCAGCTGTAGGTTGTTGAACAAGTTACTTAATTTTTTTTTTGTGGTATTTTAAATTTTTTACTTATTAATTAATTTTTGCTACAGATGTTTCTTCTCCCCCGCCCCCAAACACCCTCTTCCCTATCCCACAAGCATTGTTGTCTATGTCCATTGGTTACGTATACATGCATATACGTTCTTTGGTATATCTCATCATTCTCTCTCTGTTCCCCTCCACCCCCCTCCTCTGAAGTTTGTCCGTCTGGACCGTACTCCTTTCTATGTCTCTGGGTCTGTTTTGTTCATCTGTTTTTTTTGTTCATTATATTCCACAAATTAGTGAGATCATGTGGTATTTGTCTTTCTCTTATTGGCTTATTTTGTTAGCATAATACTCTCCAGGTCCCTCCGTGTCATCTCAAAGGATAAGAGATCTTTCTTTCTTACAGCTGCATAGTGTTCCATTGTGTATATATGTACCACAACTTTTTTATCTACTCATCTATTGATGGACACTTGGGCTGTTTCCAGATCTTAGCGATTGTAAATAGTGCTGCTATGAACACAGGAGTACATATATTCTTTCTGATTGGTGTTTCAGGCTTCTTAGGATATATTCCTAGAACTGGGATCACTGAGTCAAAATATTTTTTTCCTTTTTTTTTTTTTAAAGAAATGCCTGAAAAGAGTCTAAGATACAAATCCATCCTCTATATATATACACACACACACACACACACATATTAAAAAATTCTTTCTTTATTGATTTTAGAGAGAGAGGAAGGGAGAAGGAGAGATAGAAACATTGATGAGAGAGAACATCGATTGGCCACCTCCTGCATGCCCCTCACTGGGGAATGGGCCCACAACCTGGGCATTTGCCCTGACCAGGAATCAAATTGACAACCTCTTGATGCATGGGTCAGTGTTCAACCACTGAGCCACACCCATCAGGCAGTTAAAAAAAATTTTTTTTAATCCTCACCCTAGGATATTTTTCCATTTATCATCAGATACAGTGGGAGGGAGAGAGAGAGAAACAGCAATGTGAGAGAGACACATCAGCTGGTTTCCTCCCACACAACCCAACCAGGGCCAGGATGAACTGTAACTGAGGTACATGTCCTTGACTGGAATCGAACCCGCGACTCATTGGTCTGCAGGTCAGTGCTCCCAAACCGGCCAGGGCTAGCTATTTTTTTTTTTTTTTTTTTCTTTATTAATGTGAAAGAGGAAGGGAGAGGGAGAGAGAGACAGAAATATCAGTGAGAGAGAACATCAATTGGCCTCTTTCTGCATGCCTCCTATTGGGATTCAGGCCTACAACCTCGGCATGTACCCTGACCAGGAATTGAACTGGCGACCTCTTGGTGCATGGGTCGATGCTCAAGCACTGAGCCACACCGGCTGGGCAAGTTACTTAATCTTTTTAAGCCTAGATTTATTTCCTAGTCTATAGAAAGGGAATGATACTTGTTTTATCTAGATTAAAAGAGTGTCTTAAATTTCAAATGAAACAATATAAGTAAACATGTTTCAGAGTATAAAGAACTATAAAATATAAGGTAGTGGTTTGGTTCTGTTGGCAAAAAAAAAAAGACTTAGATTTTGATAGATTAGGAAAGTGATAGCTAATAATGTTTGCTACATGTCTAGTGTCAGTATCCTAAGCACTTGAATATATTAATATTAAACCCACAATTCCAGGAAGTAGGTACATTTTAAAGATGAAGTTAAGTGTCTTTCCCAAGGTCACAGCTAGCTAAGCAGCAGAGCTGGGATTCAAAGCCAAAGTCTTGTCTTGACCACTTTGATTTAGTGCCTCTAGTTAATCCAGGTTTCTTAAGGTGATATGAGATGCAGTTGACATTTGTCTTTACAGGCATACCTTGGATTCAGTTCCAGACCACAGCAATAAAGCAAGTATCACAAAAACGTGCACTGCATGAATATTTTTTGTTCCCCAATGCATATAAAAGTTATGTTTACATTACAGTGTAGACTGTTAAGTGTGCAGTAGCAGTATGTCTGAAAAAACAATGTACATACCTTAATTTAAAAATACTTTAGCCCTGGCCGGTTTGGCTCAGCAGTTAGAGCATCGACCTGCCGTCCAGAGAGACCCAGGTTCGGTTCCTGCTAAGGGCACGTACCTCGGTTGCAGTTTGTCCCCAGCCCCGGTTGGGGTTGTGCGGGAGGCAGCCACTCGATGTGTTCCTTTCACGTCAATGTTTCTCTCTCTGTCTCTCTCTTCCTCTCTCTCCCTCCCACTCTTTCTGAGCAAAAATGGAAAAATGTCCTCATGTCCTCGGGTGAGGATGGAGAAAGGAAGGAAGGAAGGAAAGGAAGGAAGAAAGAAAGAAAAATACTTTAGCCCTGGCTGGTTTGGCTTGGTGGTTAGAGCATCAGCCTGTCATGGGTTTGATTCCTGGTCAAGGGCACACACCTGGGTTGCAAGTTCAATCCTGGCCTGGTCGTGGTCATGCGAGAGGCAACCAGTCAGTGAGTCTCTCACATCAGTGTTTTTTTCTCTCTCTCTCTCTCTTTCTCTCCCTCTCCCTCCTACTCACTCTCTCTAAAAACCAATGGAAAAAATATCCTTGGATGAGGATTAACAACAATAAAAAATTAATAAAAATACTTTATTGCTAAAAACTGCCAGCCATTATCTAAGCTGGTTGGAACAATGGCACCAATAGACTTGGTCAGTGCAGGATTGCCACAAACCCTCATTTACAAAAGAATAATAATGTGTTTTTATTGATTTTAGAGAAAAGAATGGTGAGGAAGAGAAACATGTATGAGAGAAGCATTGATAGACTGCCTCCTGCACACCCCCTCCTGGGGGATCGAGCCTGCAACCCAGGCATGTGCCCTGACCAGAATCTAACCTCAACCTATGGGTGCACAGGATAATGAACAACTGAGCCACACAGGCCAGGGCCAAACCTTCAATTTTTTAAAAGGGGGGGCGGGGCGGGAGCAATATCTATGAGCCATAGTAAAGCAAAATGCAATAGTATGAGGTGTGCTTGTATGTGAATTTTCCCTTTTTGAAAACTCCTTATGATTTGCCCTTGCCACCCCATTTTTTCCTAGGTTACTTCTTTGGCTCTGTTGGTTTTATGTACAAGAAATGAAAGCTAATTAAAATATCATTCTAGACTAGATAGAGTAGTCAGCCTCCCCTCCCTTATCCAAGGTTTCACTTCTCACTGTTTCACTTACCCATGGTCAACAGAGGTCTGAAATATTACATGGGAAATTTTAGAAATAAACAATTCACCTTTTAAATTTCACATCGTTCTGGATAGATCTCACGCCATCCCCTTTGTGCCACCCAGGATGTGAATCATTGTCATTCACTACCGGCCCATTAGTTACTTAGTAGTAGTTGTCTCAATTATCAGATTTTTTTTTTATGCTTACCCGGGGACATTTTTTCATTTTTGTTCATATGTAATATGATAGAGTGGGAGGGAGGTGGGGGAGAGAGAGAGACAGACAGACAGACAGACACACACACATCGATGTGAAAGGGAGACATGGAGTGGCTGCCTCCCACAGGGCCCAACCAGGGCCAGGGACAAACTGCAACCGAGGCATGTGCCCTTAACGGGAACCGAACCTGGGTCTCTCTCTGGACTGCAGTCCAATGCTCTAACCGTTGAGCCAAACCGGCCAAGGCATCAGTTATCAGATATTTTGAGAGAGACCACATTCACATAACTTTATTTATTTATTTTTATCCATACCCGAGGACATTCTTCCATTTTTTGTTCAGACAGAGCGAGAGAGAGAGAGAGAGAGAGAGAAACATCGACGTGAAAGGGACACATCGAGTGGCTGCCACCCGCACGACCAATCAGGGCCGGGGACAAACTGCAACCGAGGTACATGTCCTTAGCGGGAACCGAACCCGGGCCTCTCTGGACCGCAGTCCAACGCTCTAACCGCTGAGCCAAACCGGCCAGGGCAACTTTATAACAATGTACTGTTACAGTTGCTCTATTTTATTAGTAGTTATTGTTGTTAATGTCTTACTTGTTTAATTTACAAATTAAACTTTATCATAAATATGCACCTGTAGGAAGAAACATAGCATACATAAAGTTTTGTACTATCTACAGTTTTAAGTATCCAAATGGGGGTCTTGGAATATATCCCCCCCACAGAATAGTGGGGAGACAGCTGTAATCCAGGAATGATAATTTATCCCCACATAATGCTGCAGTGTATTTGATGATAAAATACAAATGATATAATAGTTTTTATGTATATATATAATACATTTTACAAAATTATTATACCATATTTACATATGGTATGTACTCAGAATTTGTTATAAGCATTTTTTGTCTTTAGATATTCTTTAACAATATTTCTAAATTAGGAATCTAATGCTAATTTTATTAGATGGATATCTTATTTATATACTTGTATCCTTGCTTTTTGGACATTTAGATTTTTTATTTTATTTATTTATTTATTTTTATCCTCACCCGAGGACATTTTTCCATATTTTGTTCAGACAGAGCGGGAGGGAGAGAGAGGAAGAGAGAGAGAGAGAAATAGCGACATGAAAGGGACACATCAAGTGGCTGCCTCCCCACGACCCAACCAGGGCCAGGGACAAACTGCAACCGAGGTACGTGCCCTTAGCGGGAACTGAACCCGGGTCTCTCTGGACCGCAGGCCGACACTCTAACTGCTGAGCCAAACCGGTCAGGGCGTAGATTTTTTATTTTTTTATAGATTTTTTTATTTTTGTTGTTTTGCTTTTTTCTATATTGATTTTACAGAGAGAGGAAAGGAGAGAGAGATAGAAACATCGATGAGAGAGGTCATCAATTGGCTGCCTCCTACATGACCCCCACTGGGGATTGGGCCCACAACCTGAACATGCGCCCTGACAGTGAATCAAACTGGTGACCTCTTGGTGCATGGGTCAAAGCTCAACCACTGAGCCACACTGGCCAAGCTTGTTTTGTCTTTTAAATATGGAACGCTTCACAAATTTGACTGTCATCCTTGTGCAGGAGCCATGCTAATCTTATCTGTATCATTTTAATTTTTGTATATGTGCTGCCAAAGGGAGCACCATTTAGATTGCTTTTAGTTTTTACACAATTATGAACAACATTGTAGTGAAGGGAGTTATATATAAATCTGTTTATGTCTCTAATTATTTCCTTAAATTTGATTTTAGAATAGTAATTACTATATCAGAGTATGAATATTTTTAGTTTTTTTTTAATCCTCATCCGAGGACATTTTTGCATTTATCTTCAGATAGAGCGGGTGGAAGAGAGGGAGGAAGAAAAAGAAACATCCATGTGAGAGAGACACATTGACTGGCTGCCACCCACATGACCCCAATTGGGCCGGGGACTAACTATAACCAAGGTACGTGTTCCTAGCAGGAACCGAACCCAAGACTCTCCAATCCTCAGGCTGATGCTCCAACCGCTGAGCCAGACCAGCCAGGGCAGAGTATGAATATTTTTAAAACTGTCATACTTATTTCTAGAAAGAATGTGTCAATTTAACATTTCACTTTAGTGACTCATCACTGTATCCTTAACTCAGTGTATTAGATTTCTCCCCCAAAATATGTTTGACAGTTTTTAAGCAAAATATAAAATATCATTACACTTAACTTACATTCTTAAAATTATTAGATAGTTGCAGCATTTCTTTATATATTTAGTGTTTGCTTATATTTTTGATATGGGAGGAGTGCCTTCACTTTTCTCAAATGTATGCAAATGTTGCTGTGGATGTTATCTCTTTCACTACTTCCATTTATAACTTCAACACCTGTTCAAAATTTCATTTAAGCCGTTCTCTGCAATTTTGATAAACTACCCTCTTACACAGTTTAAATCAGTGTTACTCATTACATAGAAAAAAATGTCTCTTGAAATTTCTAAACTCAGCGGTCAACTTTCACGAGGCACTTTAAGACCCACAAAAGGAAAACACCTCTGCACCAGTGTGAGGAAATGCAAGCACACACAGACCCAAATGCTTTCATCTAGAGTTGTTTCAGAATAACACTTTGTTGTTGTATATTCAGAATGGTGCAAACTTTCTAAGTGGCCTTAACTCGCTTAAACCTTTTTCACCCTTCAAAGTTGAAAGTCAGATCTAGACTGGGATAGAGGACCTACTCTCTGGTGAGATGATTCTGAGGCAAGGGAGTCACTAGAGAGATCTGACTCTGTTGTACCTCATGTAGTTGAGGGGAGGAGAAAGGGTATGAATAAACAACTTGTTTAGCTGTTTCCTAAACACATGCTTGCCTTTTTTTTTTTTTTTTCTTGATGATTTGGGTTTAAAATTATACCAATTTTTTTTACAGCATTCTAAATTCTTAAAATTAATTTTCCATGTTGTGACTATGACCTGTAAGATTATAGAAGCTATACTGGGGAACTGCCTTTTCCATTTTTTTTTAATTTTTTTTTTTATCCTCACCCGAGGATATTTTTCCATTTTTTGTACAGATAGAGTGGGAGGAAGGGAGAGGAAGGGAGAGAGAGAGAGAAACATCGACGTGAAGGGACACATCGAGTGGCTGCCACCCGCACGACCAACCAGGGCCGGGGACAAACTGCAACCGAAGTACGTGCCCTTAGCGGGAACCGAACCCGGGTCTCTCCGGACCGCAGGCAGTCGCTCTTACCGCTGAGCCAAACTGGCCAGGGCTGCCTTTTCCATTTTTATCGGAAAGAATACCTGTCTGTGGTCTGACTTGTTAAAGGACCAATGTTGATATAATTATTACAGATTTTCTTTTGTAAGAATAGTTTGGCACTGTCGTCTCAGTTTCCCGACCTGAGTGTGAGATCAGTACTTCTCTATCACCTGGCAGCTTTTCATGGACTGGGACTCAGGATTTTGAAGGTTAAAAATAGCCACATAATTGTAGCATATTTTAAAATTATATTTAATCTGAATAATAATAATTTGAAACTTTCTGTTTTAATAGAAGGTTCTACAGGAAATTATAAAAGGTAAAAATCCAATGTTTGTGTCTTATCTCAAGGAAGCGGTTTCTTCCGGTTTTTTGTTGTCCTCATTGTCTTGCAGGGCACAGTCCCAGGTACTTGTGAGTAAAATTCTACCCAGTCTGACAACTCTGCTTGCAATTATGAATGTGGTCAAACACAGAGGTCAGTGTACGTTGATTCAGCCTAAGTTAAAGTGATCCAGCCTTGATAGGGCTTTGGAAACTCAAGCCTATTACATACCATAATGAAAAACTGCAAGTTTTGATTTAGTTGCCTGCAACTAACACAGCCTACATTTTCAAATTTTTAGAAACATTGATTTCTACTTCAAGGGGATTAAATTACAGAAGCCAAATGATACTTTTCAATACAGTGCAAAAGTAGTACCTGGGCTTTTTTTTTTTTTTTAATCCTCTCACTCCCAGAGTGAAGGTACCTGTGCATGCACATACAGAGACACTTCTTGGCACTTGTATTATTCATGTGTTTCAAGAACATAAGTTCCAAAGTATGGGATTAAAGTATATACTGTGCTTCAGAAATGTGATCCAGTAATATTTATTGAACGTCTATTATGGGCCCTGGCTGGATAGTTCAGTTGATTAGAGCATCATTCTGATATGCCAAGGTTGTGGGTTTGATCCCCTGGTCAGGACACATATAAGAATCAACTAATGAATGCATAGATAAATGAAACAATAAATCATTGTCTCTCTCTCTCTCTCTCTCTTTCAAATCAATTTTTTTTAAAAGGTAAAACCATCTATTATGTGAATAATCTTGTTCCTGACCCAGTAACTTGGATGGATAAATAAATAAAAGACAGGCTCTAGTCTTAGGACTAGACACACTTGAATTGAAAAGTTAGAATGTTCAGGGAGAATATTTTCCTGTACCTGGATAATAAATTCAAGAGAAAGCACTAAGTCCTAGATGAGTTAATTAATAAGGGGATCCAGGAAAGAGCATCCTTGTTAAAGCACTGGCAGAGAAAATGCCTTGAAGGACGTGGTAGGGGTGGGAAACAAGATAGGAAGAGGACCTGTTGTGATGGGCTCTAAAGGGTAGTTAGTTTGGGCTAGGGCTTTCAACAAAGTAACCCCAGAATGAACCTTTCTGTCTGTCTGTCTGTCTGTCTGTCTGTCTCTCTCCCTCTCTCTCTCTCTATCTCTCTCTCCCCCAGCCTAAAGTTGTGAGGACACAATTGCAAGTGACTTTTAGGTCCACTATTGGGTTAAAGACAGAGAAGAAAGATGCCTTTGAGCAGTGTCTGAACTTTATTCAGGTTGGGTGAATAGTGAAAAGAACACTTTAGTTGGAAATTCAGTTACGTGGACTGACAAAATTACTCGTTGAATAGATTACTTCATCATAACAGAACATAAAGATGACTGATTTTTCAGAGTCTGATTTGATAAACGTAATTTTTGCCATCTTTGGTCCTGTTTATTTTCCCCAGAGCAGTATTTTGGTGTTTCTCTTAGGTTTAACCTAATTTCTGGCACCCCAGAAGTTAAGGGGGGGAGGGGTGGAATATAACTTTTCCTCCCATTATAAAAAAGTAGTCTTTTTAGTAAGAAGACTTAATCAGGCATGGTGATGACTCTTAATACAATTTCTCATTGTTAATTAGATTCTCTCAAGAGGCATGTACTCATGGTGGATATATTTTATTAAGTGGAGTCAAATAACAAGGGGCATAACATTTTCTTTTCTTTACCTGGGATCTGAGAGATGGCACTATTCTCAGTTTTACTTTTTTTGTTTGTTAATCCTTACCTGAGGATATTTTTCCATTCATTTTTAGATAGAGTGGGGGAGAGAGAGAGAGACAGAAACATTGATGTGAGAGAGACACATCAGTTGGCTGTCTTATGCATGACCCAACCAGGGCTGGTTATCGAACTTACAATCCAGGTACTTGTCCTTACTGGGAATCGAACCCAAGATCCCTCAGTCTGTGGATCCATGGGCTGATGTTCTAACTGCTGAGCAAAACTGTCCAGGGCCTCAGTTTTACATTTTAATGTTTTTGTTGATTTTATTAGAGAGAGGGAGAGATAGACACATCTATATGAGAGAGAAACACCAATCGGCTGCCTCCTGCACAACCCCTACTCGGGACCCAGCCCACAATCTGGTCATGTGCCTTGAATGGGAATTGAACCAGGACCTCTGAGTCCATGGGACAACACTTAATCCACTGAGCCACACTGGCTGGGTTCAGTTTCATTTTTTTTTTTTTATCCTCACTCGAGGACACTTTTCCATTTTTTGTCCAGATAGAGTGGGAGGGAAAGAGAAACATCGACATGAAAGGGACACATCGAGTGGCCGCCACCCGCACAACTAACCAGGGCTGGGGACAAACTGCAACAAAGGCACGCGCCCTTAGCGGGAACCAAACCCTGGTCGCTCTAACCGCTGAACCAGACCGGCCAGGGCCAGTTTCAGTTTTAATTAAAGTTCATAAATGGCAGGTTTTAATTTTTTTAAATTAATTAATTTGAGAGAGAGAAACATCGATTTGTTGTTCAACTTATTTATGCATTCATTGGTTAGTTCTTTCTTTCCTCAAGATTTTTTTATTGATACTTTTAGAGAGAGAGGAAGGGAGAAGGAGAGAGAGAGAAAACATCGATGTAGAAAGAAACCTTGATCATTTGCTTTCACATTTGCTCCCTGGCTGGGGATGGAACCCGCAACCCATGCATGTGCCCTGACCAGGAATTGAACTTGGAACCTTTCGGTGTACAGGATAATAATGCCCAACCAACTGATCTACCCATCCAGGGCAGCAGATTTAAAATTTTAAACCACAGCCCTGACCGGTTTGGCTCAGCGGTTAGAGCGTGGGCCTGTGGTCCAGAGAGACCCGGGTTCGGTTCCCGCTAAGGGCACGTGCTTCGGTTGCAGTTTGTCCCCGGCCCTGGTTGGTCGTGCGGGTGGCAGCCACTCGATGTGTCCCTTCACATCGATGTTTCTCTCTCTCTCTCCCTTCCTCTCTCTCCCTCCCACTCTATCTGTACAAAAAATGGAAAAAATATCCTCGGGTGAGGATAAAAAAAAATAAAAAATAAAAAATAAAATAAAATTTTAAACCACAGCACGAATCAGAAATTGGGCTAGTCAAGCCTTTTGGGAGGGGGTGTTTTTTCTTTTTGAAGGTGGGGGTTGGAAAGCAGGAGAGAGAATTGGCCAAAAATAAAAATGTACTAACGGCACTAGATTGTGGATGGTGAGACTGTGCTGGAAAGTGATGGCTCCCCCAAGTAAAAATTCCTTTGCCAGCACTTTATTTTTTTTCACCCACTTTTTGCAACATAGAAACATGAAGAGGAGTCTTCCTCTTCCTCCTTTCCCTCCCCTTAAGTGGTCTTGAGAAGGGACAAGCAGCACAAATACAACTGCGGTGTTCTTAACTGCACAGACTTACCACAAGGTAGAGATGGTATTATCAGATGCCACCCAGGAAAAGGGAGTGTTACATCACAACTCGACTAAAATCTCCGTCAATCTTCTCAAACGGGGAGAGGCACAGATGAAAGTACTTTTGAGTTTTCACAGTAAGGAGAAGGGTTTTGTCCGTTAATTAGAGGTAGTCTGGGAAATGCTAACACTTGAGTGAATGTCCCAGAAGAGTTTGAAGACCTTAGTTCTGAGCTCACTGTGATAATGGTAGTCCCCTGCTTAGGGAGCAGCTAGTGTTAGGAATATTGGTTGAGAGATCACAGAAAGACTCTGCCAAGGAGATCATTTTTCTTTTTCTGTGATGTTTGCAGTTCAAGGCTTGATCTCCAGGTTATTACTTGATTCTGTTCAGAAGCCAGGACTTGAATTTTGAGGACCTTTCAGAAGTTAGTGCTAGTGTTGATTTCTGGGTCTAATTGTGCTTCTGGAAATATCAGCTATAAAATTACTGGAATTGATGTTTAAGAAAAGCCAGATGGCCCTGGCCGGTTTGGTTCAGCGGTTAGAGCTCGCGGACCAGAGAGTTCTGGTTTCGGTTCCCGCTAAGGGCATATACCTCGGTTACAGTTTGTCCCCGGCCCTGGTTGGGGTCGTGTGGGTGGCAGCCAGTCAATGTGTCTCTCTCACATCGATGTTTTTCTCTCTTTTCCCCTCTCTCTCCTACTCTGTCTGAAGATAAATGAAAAATAAAAAATGTCCTCCGGTGAGGATTTTTAAAAAAGAAAAACCAGATGGCCCGGTCAGTGTGCCTCGCTGGTTGAGAGTCGACCCATGAACCAAAAGATCACTGGTTCGGCCCTGGTCAGGGCACGTGCCCAGGTTGTGGGCCTAATCCCAAGTGTGGGGGGCATGCAGGAGGTGTCCAATTGATGTTCTCTCTAATTGATGTTTCTATCTCTCTCTTTCCCTGTCCCTTCCTCTCTAAAAATTAATGAAGAAAAAAAAGTAAGCCCTGGCCGGTTTGGCTCAGCGGTTAGAGTGTCAGCCTGCGGTCCAGCGAGACCCAGGTTCGATTCCCGCTAAGGGCGTGTACTTCGGTTGCAGTTTGTCCCCAGCCCTGGTTGGGTCGTGCAGGTGGCAGCCACTCGATGTATCCCTTTCACGTCAATGTTTCTCTCTCTCCCTCCTACTCTATCTGAACAAAAATTGGAAAAATGTCCTCGGGTGAGGATAAAAAAAAAAGAAAAGCCAGGTAGCTATCAAAATATGTGGGTGGTTTGAAGTTTTTAAATAAAAGGCCTGTGCTCAGCCGCTAGGCCTCTGGAGGAATGCTTTATACTGTATATCCCTGCTTTCTGGAATGGGTTGTGGAAGGAAATTGCTTCCTTTCTGGTATATAGGTAGGTCCCTGAACTCTCAAAGGGTCACAGATTAGGAGTTGTACTATAGCAGGCTAGGTGATGCCAGTGAAAGCTCAGGGGTATTCTAGACTTGCTTGGTGGTTCTTGTTGGGGACATAATCATGGGGGGCTCCACGTTCTGGTATCTGTCTTACTCCTTCACTCCCTCCTGCCCAAACTAAAAATTGACTTTCTGAAATCTTTACAGTATTCATCTCTTATTTTTGTTTCTTTGTTCACTTTCGGTAAATCTTTTTTTTTTTTTTTTTTTTAATTTTTCTTTATTGATTTTAGAGAGAAAGGAAGTTAGAGGGAGAGAGAGATAGAAACACCGATGAGAGAGAACATCAGTTGGCTGCCTCCTGCATGCCCCCCACTGGAGATCAGGCCCACAACCTGGGCATGTGTCCTGACCGGAAATTGAACCAGCAACCTCTTGCTGCATGGGCCAGTGCTCAACTACTGAGCCACACCGGCTGGACTCGGTAAATCTTTTAATGTTTCTTTGCTACTATTTAGCTGGTTTAATTCTTTTCTGTTCTATTGAAGTCCAGAGTTGTGGCTTGAGGGGCAATATGTTATGGTCAGTTCTTAGGATCCATACCCCCCATTCATCTCTTCGTGGTTGCAGACATCAAAATTTTTTTTTTTTTTAATCCTCACCCGAGGATATTTTTCCATTTTTTGTACAGATAGAGTGGGAGGGAGAGAGAAGAAGGGAGAGAGAGAGAGAAACATCGACGTGGAGGGACACATCGAGTGGCTGCCACCCACACGACCAACCAGGGCCGGGGACAAACTGCAACCGAAGTATGTGCCCTTAGCAGGAACCGAACCTGGGTCTCTCCAGACCGCAGGCCGACGCTCTAACCGCTGAGCCAAACCGGCCAGGGCAGACATCAAAATTTAATAGGTATAGGTACTCTCCCTCCAGGGATCATGCCATTCCCTTCCCACTTTCCTTCCCCTACAGGCACATATCTCCTAAACTCAAAGGGACCTCATGAGACTTGCAACCAAGGGAGCAATGGGTAGCAGCAGCTCATCCTAGGCTAAGCCCTGAACCTGCCTCCAAGGCCCCCTTTTCTCAGACTTCCCAGTGAGCCACGGCTTTTTCTTTGCCCGTCCTTGTTTTACTGCCTTGTGTGGGTTTTTGCTATGGTCAATAAATTCTCGTTTGCTTTTCTTTAAAAAAAAAAGATATATGAGATTATGGTGATCAAAGACTGAGTGCATATCTTCTTTGTACTTTCATCATCACAGCATCTTAGTTATCCAGACGAAGTACAAGGCCTGGAGGTGGGAGTATGCTCAGCTCCTTGAAGGGCTAGAAGTAGTCAGCAAGAGAGGCCAGGGGGTTATAAGATGAGGCCAGAGAGGTAGTAGTAACAGTATGGAAGGCTTTGTGGGCCATGTTAGGATTTTATATTTTGTTCTAAGTGAAATGGGAAGTCATTGGAGATTTTTGAGCTGATAAGATTTCCAGTTTAAAAAATTAATTTCTCTGGCTGCTGTATGGAGAATAGATAAGGTTATAGGGGCAAGGGGAAGGGGGACAGAGAGATCATTTAGAAGGCTATTGTAGTAGTCCAGGCTAGAGATGATGTGACAAATGAAATTATTACCTATCTGCAAGAAAGGTTGGGAGATCTAATTAAGAAAACATCACTTGTCCAGCCAGTGTGGCTCAGTGGTTGAGCATCTGCCCATGCACCAAGAGGTCGCCAGTTCGATTGCTGATCGGGACACATGTTCAGGTTATGGGCTGAATCTCCAGTAGAGGGCATGCAGGAAGCTGCCAGTCGATGTTCTCTCTCATTGATGTTTCTGTCTCTCTCACGTCCTCTCTCTCTAAAATCAATAAAGGAAAAATAAATAAAACATCACTAGAGCCCTTTATACAGCCCATTTCCCAATATTGGGCTCCAGTTAATTCCTTTCCTTTCCTTGGAGTTTGCCCTCAGCTATATTTGGACCATAGGGGACAGATTATTAAGTAGAGATCAGCATTCATAAGGGATGGGATTCTGAGCAATACCTCAGTCATTTGACCCCAACAGAAGACTTTTTATTCTTGAGGTACTACAGTTGGCACACTGTGTTCATTCTGTTATCCTACCCACCCAGAGACCTAAAAAGACTGAATCTGTGCCAGAACTCTTGGGCGGCTCTATTCTCATTGAGGCATTCAATCTTCAGTTCTTTCTGCTGTTGCTATCTCAGGGACAGTTTGATACTTTTACAAAGTATCTTTTCAGCTACCTGGACTTGCAAGCTGGAGCTCTCTGATACTCATCATGACAAGGTAGTTTCACATACCTGAGAGGGCCCTCTAAGAGAAAGAAAGAGGTTTTGTGATCTTTAACATTTCATCTTTCCCCCCACTCTTTTGTTGTAATGTAAAGCCTTAATATGCTACCTTGATTTCTGGGTTTTGCAGTATGAGAAAGGAATTTTGTGTGATTTAGTATATTATACTTTGGGAAAAGCTAGGTCCTTGGTATACAGGGAATTTGTTTGGCATTGTTGACAAGGTTTCCTTCCCTACAAAAGGTAGGTAGGTAAACAGTACTGATGAAACCATGCCATCTCAGGATTGCCTGCCCAAAGAGGGCTTCTGGCAGCCTACTAGTTCCTTGATTTCGTCTGGGTGCAACTCAATTTCTGGGTGGGGGTGGGATCTAGAAGGTCTGATTGTGTGACAGGAAATAGGAAATGTGAATTCCCCAGAAACTTAAAACAATTTGCTGTAACAGTAGTTAATTGTGTCTCCTAGGATGTTTTGCTTGTTCTTCCTTTAAAAGTGAATTCAGGTTACTGGGCTGTCACAAGTGAAACTTGGGGTGCCTTTGCAACTCATACTGTACTGCTTCTGGAAATGCTTGACTGCCCCAGCCCCCAACCAGCCCTGTAAATAGACTAAGCCAAGCCCTATGAAAGCCAGCTCTCTTCAGGAACACTTCTATTTTCAGGGAGAAAATATTTTCCCTTCACCTCAGTTAGAATGTGCCCTCGTCTTTCTGCTCCTTTCTTAGCTGGGGCAGAGATGAGAGCCAGTGTGCCATTCATCTGGCAGCCCTGTGGGCCTTTCCAAAAAAGCCCATGATAGGGAGAGGCAACCTACAGGAAATGGAAATGCTAAATGAGTGCCTGCATCTAGAGCTTGTGAGCATAAAAGACCTTAAAAATGCACCTGTACTTTTTTTTTTTAATACGTTTTTATTGAATTTTTTAGAGAGGAAGGGAGCGAGAGAAACATTGATGGCTGCCTCCTGCATGCCCCATACTGGGGATCAATTCTGAAACCTGGGCATGTGCCCTGAGCTGGAATCGAACCTGGACTTCCCAGTCCATGGGATGATGCTCAGTCCACGGAGCTACATCAGCTGGGCTGTACCTGTATTTTTCATTTAATTGTGCAGATAGGTATTTTCTAGTTTTTATTTTTCCCACCCACTCATCTGTGCTGACTGAAATATCATTTTACCCTTAGTAAAAGTTCAGAGCAAATTGTTGCTACAGATAAAAACATAGATGTATTTTCAACCAACATGCTGCTAATTAAATTGCTTATCTATCTAAACTTGGGCCTGTGCTGCTCATATCAGATGTCCCTGGTATCTTCCTTGAGTAAGTTGCCTTGTGTTCCTTGACCTTGTTTTTTTGTTCATTACAGTGTGAGTGACTGCCCCATGTTGTGTTGATGCCGGTCTGCCATGCTAGCCTGTCTACCAGGGCCAGGTGACCTGTCCTTTCAGCTTCTTTCTCACACGCAGATGAACACTGGACTTCAGAAATGTAAGTAATCTGGATCCCAGGGAACGATGTGATCCTTTATTTTGTTCTTACATTTGGGCTGTTTCAGAGGGGTGTACATTGACCGTGGACTTTGATATCTTTTAAGATATTCTTCAGTACAAACAGAAGAAAATGGTTGCAAAAACTTGTCAGCAATGTGAGACACTTCTGATCAGAGAGCTCCTCTAAGGTACTAGAATTTCCTAGTGTATGGCATCTTAATTTTAATAGTTGCTGATAGCTCTCTGTTGAGCAACAAAGCTATACAGAGTTTTACAGGATATATATATATATATAAAGTTTCTTAATTTGAACCCCATGAGGAACTAAATGAAAACACACAGTTCAGATTACTTACTATATCTCTGAAAAAAACTATTTACACTGTGCTGTTGTTTTGAACTCTGAGCATTCTCTACCATGGAAACAGACAATTCCCTTTGGCTTTGCTGTCTGCCTTCTGAGCCAGTGGCTTCAGTTCACAGCTAATAAGGAAGCTTTTGCTTCCAGAGAGATAAAGAGCTAACTTTCTGTCTTTCTGAGTGTATTTCTGAGTGTATACTTCCCACAAGATTGAGCTTTTGAGAATTGGCTGTTAGAACCTTATTGTAAACTGCCTGGAATTGGGGCTTTATACTTCATACTTTTCCAGATTTCTACCTTCTATCCTTGCACTGCATGAATGTGCAAGGAAAAGATTCTGTCCCTGGCTCATTACCATCTATAGTATCTTCAAGTGTCAAAATGGCCCTAAATTTGAAATAGACTTTCCTTTCAGAGCAAAAAGAGGAAATCTAGGCTTTGAAGCATCTAGGCTTACCTTTTGAAGGTGCTTCAGCATCTTACCTGAATCCTTTATGACAGGATTTGGCAAACTATTTCTGTAAAGGGCAAGAAAGCAAATATGTTAGGCTTTGTGGACCAAGGTCTCTGTTGCATCTACTCAGATCTCCTATTGTAGGGCAAAGGCAGCCATAGACAGTATGTAAAAAATGCATGTGACTGTGTTTCAATAAAAGTTTTTTTTTTAATCCTCACCTGAAGATATTTTTCCATTGATTTTTCAGGTAGAGGAGGAGGAAGGGAGAAGAGAGAGAGAAACATTGATGTGAGAGACACATCGACTGATTGCCTCCCACATGAACTTGTGACTCTCTGGTCCATGGGCCAATGCTCTAACAGCTGAACAACCAGCCAGGGCCCAGCTGCTGTTTTTATTAAAAGTTTTATTGGTGCCCTGGCCAGTTTGGCTCAGAAGTTAGAGCGTTGGCCTGCGGTCCAGAGAGACTGGGGTTCGGTTCCTGGTAAGGGCACGTACCTCAGTTGCAGTTTGTCCCCGGCCCTGGTTGGGTCGTGCTGGTGGCAGCCACTCGATGTGTTCCTTTCATGTCGATGTTTCTCTCTCTTCCTCCCACTCTATCTGAACAAAAAATGGAAAAATAGCCTCGGGTGAGTATAAAAAAAAAGTTTTATTGGGCCCTGGCCAGTTTGTTTTAGCAATTAGAGCATCAGCCCACAGACCAAAGAGTGACGGGTTTGATTCCAGTCAAGGGCACGTACCTCAGTTCGATCCCCGGCCCTGGTTGGGGTCATATGAGAGAAAACCAGTCGATGTGTCTCTCTCACATAGATGTTTCTCTCTCTCTCCCTCTCTTCCACTCTATTTGAAGATAAATGGAAAAATATGCTCAGGTGAGAATTTTAAAAAAACAACAGTTGGACCCGGTTGGTGTGGCTCAGTGGTTGAGCATCAACCCATGCACCAAGAGGTTGCTCGTTTGATTCCCAGTTAGGGCACACACCCAGGCTGTGGGTCTGATCCCCAGTTGGGGGCATGCAAGAGGTAGCTAATCGATGTTCTCTCTCCTCGATGTTTCTCCCTTTCTCTCCCTCCCTCTCTAAAATCAATAAAAAGAAAAGTTATTTTAAAAATAACAGCAGCTGGGTTTTGGCCCACAGGCTGTAGTTTACCAACCCCTGCTCTATGAGATCATTTTCAGAAGTTAAAAATTATCTAGCCTCTGACTTTCTTTCTTTGAAAAAGAGTAACACTCAGAGCCTGGGTAGTTCTAGGATTTGACCAATGAATCCAGCTTGTGTAATGACAAAGCTGAATGTGATAGTCTTTCTTCTACAGATTCCTGGACACAATAGGCAAGCTCTGCTGTACTAGCTTTCACCCAGCCTCTCTTAATACGTGATGACTGGGTGATGAAGTTGTATTTGCTCCCTGGCCACCAAAATCTCTGCCAGCTGCATAATGACTGGTTCTGGGCTTCCAGGGGACACAACTGGAAAGGGAGTGTACTTGAAAGTATACAGTAAGATAACAAAGAGCAGCTCACTGTCTTCTAGATTCCTTAACTCACTCTGACAGCTTTATCTAGAGATGTGATGTCAAGGGATGAGCCATCTGGGAAGAAAGCAAATTGGCAGCTTTATCTTGGGTGCTGACTTCGCACCTCCACTTATTTTTCCTCAAAGCAGCTCCTAAGTAGCCTCTGCCAATCACTGTCCCCAATCTATATTTGAGAATTGAGATATCCTTCTTTCCTGGTTTCAAACTCACTTTGTCCATTTGAGGAACAGTGTATTTGAATTCCTTTGACTCTCTTGTTTCTGTCCTTAACTAAATTCACACCTTTACAGAGGAGAAATCCTATTGGTATTTTTAAGCCTTCTTGCTTTCTTTTCTCCCCTCCCAAAATGTATTAAAAAAGGGAAAAATTGTTGTTAGTGTTAAATAAACATTTACAATTAAGGTGAGATGGAACATAAGATGTCTCCTTTGGGAACCAGCACCTAAAAACTGCTTAGAATCCTTGCCCTGGCCAGTTTGGCTTGGCGGTTGGAGCGTCGGACTGCGGACCAGAGTCCTGGGTTCAGTTCCCGCTAGGGGGCATATACTAAATAAATAAATAAATAAATAAATAAAGCTGCTTAGAATCCAATATCGTCAGTTACAAAGATCTTAAAACCAATTTTATGGCTTGTAATTCAGCTACCCCTCGTACCCATTCTTATTTTTAAGTCCCTAGAAACAGAGTTTGTTATCTGGTGGGGTAGGGATGAAATACAGATGTTTATAGCTTACTGTGCTTTATAGTAAGAGTTAGCTCAAGGCAGGAGAAATGGATCAGGGGTCGAGAGATGGGATATGTGGTTCCTAGCTCAGCACTGTAAGTCACCTGGCTAATCACTTTTCCCTAGACTTGAGTTACTATATGTACAGATTCACAGGATTGATTTCTTCTAACTGTACATTTTCTCTTCTCCACTTCCTTTTCTGTGTGCGTAGGAGGATGTAATGTGTTTCCCATCCTAGATGTGTGATTTTCCATAGGGCAGGCTGGATTAAAGAAATCTTGGCTTGGGCCCTGGCCGGTTTGGCTCAGTGGTTAGAGCGTCGGCCTGCGGTCCAGAGAGACCCAGGTTCGGTTCCCGCTAAGGGCGCATACCTCGGTTGCGGTTTGTCCCTGGCTCTGGTTGGTCGTGCGGGTGGCAGCCACTCGATGTGTCCCTTTCATATTGATGTTTCTTTCTCTCTCTCTCTTTCTCTTTCTCTTTCTCTTCCTCTCTCTCCCTCCCACGCTATCTGAACAAAAAATGGAAAAATATTTTTGGGTGAGGATTAAAAAAAAGAAAGAAATCTTGGCTTGGGGTGGGTACTGTACTTGGTAGAGGACTACAGTCAGGGTTAGGTGGATACCTTCCTAGAGCTTTTCTAGATTATATATTCCATGATGTCACTTGCTTTGAGAGTCAGCCATTTTAAAACTCTGCACTTGAAAATTTGTTTTCCTCTGACCCATCTTCTCCTATTCCCCTAGAAAATGTGTTTTCGAACATTTTTATCCTCACCTGAGGATATTTTTACATTTATTTCTAGATATAGTGGGAGCCGGGGGCTAGGGAAGAGAGAGAGAAAGAGAAAGAGAAACATTGACATGAGAGAGACACATTGACTGGCTGCCACCCACACAACCCCAACCAGGACCAGCCACGAACCACAACCAAGACACATGCCCTTGACTGGAATCAAACCCAGGACTCCTTAGTCTGCGGGCCGATGCGCTAACCACTGAGAAAAACCGGCCGAACATTTTTATTTATTTATTTTTAATCCTCACTTGAGGATATTTTTACATTTATCTTCAGACGGGGGGGGGAGAAATACACATTGATGTGAGAGAGACACATTGATTGGTTGCCACCTGCACAACCCCAGCTGGGGCCAGGGACAAACCTCAACCAAGGCATGTGCCCTTGTTCAGATTCGAACCTGGGACTCCCTGGTCCGAGGGCCGCTCTAACTACTGGGCCAACCCAGCCAGGGCACATTTTTTCTTTATTAACTCCAAGCCTATGCTCCTGTTTCCTCAGTTCACAGTCAGGAATATAGTAGTGGCCCAATAAATACTTCTCGGTGAATGGCTGAAATGACCAAAAGACTTTGGTTTTCAAATCATCTTTTAGATAAAAACTTTGACCTCTTTGGGGCCTGGGGCAAATGTCAAAATTCTTTTACTGCTTCTTAGTATGCCTATGTGCCCCCTAGTGGAAGTGCCTGGAAATGGTTAATTGGCCCAATAATTGAGTAAATTATAGGAGTATCAGAAATACTAGCTAACATCTGTTGGGTGCTAACCATATGCCAGGCACTATCTTGAGTATTTTCATTTTAATTTAATTTTATTTTATTATACTTTTTCCATCACCATTTATCTCCTCTATGCCTTTTCCCACCTCCGTCCTCAGCCCCACAATCACCACCCTGTTGAGTATTTTCATGTATGTTCTTATTAATTCCTCAATAATTCCATATGAAGGACTTTCTTATCTTTCTTTTAAGGATGAGGCACAGAGTGTTTGCCACTTGCCAACATCGCATCACTGTTCAGTGACTGGGCTAGAACTCACACTTGGGTCAGATTCCAAAACTTGCGTTAGAAACACTGCATGAGCCTCTCCACCTATAGATAGAGGTTCCTGCTGCACAT